ACTTAGGAAACATTGATATAGGTGTACCGCAAAAGCAAAATGATCCACATGGAGAGGCATTCGAGACTGTTTGTAATGGTGGAAAGCATGTTGAAGAATTGGACTGTGAATCAGAAAAAAGCTTTGAAGATGTTAAGGAACTTGACGCTGCAATTGAACAAGAAAAAGACAAGGGTACTTTGAATTTTCCTGTGAGAGTTGGTTGACAGTGGGAAGAATATGGAGGGAACTAGGCTACCTAGTATCTTTCAAGCGAAAGAAGAAATGACAGAGATATACAATGATATCAAGACAAGCTATAACACATAAAGAAATGAAGAGACCTATTCTAAAACCACAGAAGCCAAAGGTTCTATGCAGAAAGAAGGGGAAATAGAGAAGGAAAATGTGAGAAAGGTAGATAAAATAAAAGAGAAGGAAAGGGAAAAGGAGAAGGAAAGAATAGTTGTTGAAAGAGCAGTCCGTAAAGCTCATGAACGGGTCTTTACTAAAGCTCGAGAAAGGGCAAAAAGAGATGCTGTTGAGAAAGCAATTGCAGAAGCATGTTGAAGGGCAATGGTTGAAGCTCAAGGAAGGTTAGAGAAGGAGATTTGTATAAAGCGATGGAGAAGAAAAGGGAAGAGGCAAATAGAAAGAGAAAGAAGAAAATAATAAGGGCGTTTTAGTCTTTTCTATCAATGTAGACGAAATTCACTAACAGATCTGGACGAAAAGTGGCTCTTTGTCATTTCCAAATCTTTTGGGTACCAAATCATCTTTACGACAAACTTTGGGTGGGTGTAAGTCGTTCTGCCCAATGTTCCGAAAACCGGACTGGATTGTGACCCGTTCAAGGGTTTGGTTTTTGGTTTGACCGATTGGATATGTCGGTTGGACCGTATCTTGTAAAATTATTTTTAGTCCCTAAATGTTTAAAATTCATCAAAAACACCCCCTATAATACTCCCTTAAGGTTTGAAATCTATCCAAAACACCCATGTCGCTCGAAGAGACTGGTGAGTGGTGGCGACAGCGATAATCGACGACCAATCGAAGTTTGGAATCATGGGACTTTTGATGTATAGGTGCCGACAAATCTTATGGTAGTGTTAGGGAGTTCTACCAGAGTCGGAATTTGTCGAAATCAAGAAGGAAGTCCGACGGTCGCGCGAACTATAGGTGGACGGCGAGTGACAAAAGGCTGGATGACGACCATTGAAAATGGATGGGTTTTGTCACGGAGATGTTGTCAAGTCTAATGGTGGTGTTTCCTCGAACGATGTCGAAATCCGACGAGATTGAGTTATGATTGGACCATGATTCAATACTATTCCGATGATCCAACCGCGGCTCAATCCGGTTTTATTAAAAATATTAGTTTTCAGAGGACACTGAATCAGAGATGTTATCAACTCTCGGTCGAACTGATCCAATCAGACGGTCTGGTCCGGTTTTCAGAACACTGGTTCTGCGTATAATTAACTACTGATTAGGCTCTTGATTTTGAGTATAGTAAGTTGTTAATTGTTTCGCTACTCAATCTCGTCTTTACGGTCAACTTTCCAGAACGCCACGGTGGACCTCGATTGGGACCTGACGTGTCTTTATGTAATTCGACCAAAAAAAAATCTAAAAACCCAAAGAAAGCGCACGTTCGACGATCAGACGAGAAAGTTCTTTCTTCTCGAATCGTCTGTATATAATTTCCATTCAATCTGTAAATCTTAGCTCAAATCGGTTCCAGTTCTAGATTGCTTTGAAGAAATGATTTGGGGAATTGTTCGCCGGAAAAACAAAGTTTTTATTAACCCCCCTAATCTTTAATTTTATTTTATATTAGTCTCGGTTCCTGGTTCCGGTTCAAAAAATTTGGAACCAGAACCTACCTATTGATGACTGGTTCTGGGTAAGAACCGAACCAAACCAAGGATACCCGTCGGTTTTGGTTCTGGTTCCGATTCCAACCGGTTCTTTTGAACACCCCTAATTCCAATCATTCATAATTTTTAAATCACATTCAGGCACATCCTCTGTTTAATATTGTCCGCTCAGATCATGCTATTGGGACACGAGCTTTAAAATTTAAATCAAGTATGTTGGGATGGTAGGCCGAGCTCAAATTTAAGGCTTGATTAGATCCGTTAGATTGTGACGGAAGCTATTCGCTTCGCCCAAGATAATGGAAATTCTCTGAAATTCTTTGAAAACTATTGTAAACTACTCCATTGTATACAAATTCCAGTAGTTGTGTCATATTATTCATCATGATCCGGGCCGGTCCAGGATGGGTGCAAAATTTTGGGTCTAAGCCCAAGCCCGGATTCTAATGTTCTACTCTTGTATCCTGTCTTATTTGAAATCAATAAGTGGACATCAAACTTTTTCAATTGATATGATGATCATTTTTTTAGTAATGGGCTGTTATATATCATTAATTATTCATTACTTTTATTCAACCGAAATAATTTATTCAAATGATAATTAATCAATTTTTGAACTTTTTACATGTATTTTTAGTTTAGTTATATACAGTATATGAATAATATATACACATCAATATGTCTTATAATTAAGGCAGAACGACTTAAACCCACTCAAAGTTTGTCGTAACGACAATTTGGTACTCAAAAGGTTTGGAAATGACAAATAGTCACTTTCTGTCCAGATCTATTAGTAAATTTCATCTACCACAACATAAAATACCAAAACGCCCTTATTATTTTCTTCTTTCTCCTTCCTTTTTCTTCTCCACCGCTTTATCTCCGTCTCCAAGATTTTAGATGATGTTCATGATGGCAAATAATGTGAGAAGAAATCATATAAGGGTAATGAAATAAAATATTTTAGAGGCTGAAGAAAATGTGAAGAAACTGAAAGAGGCGTATGAAATGACAAAAACTGAGAGGAGATAAAAAGAGGGTTGTGAATGCACAGGATCTGGACAAATGCAAGCAGGGATTGATCGGAAAGCAGAAGATGAGAAGATCAAAGCAACTCAAGAGGCTCTTGAGCACTGTAAGATCAGTCTTGAGGCAGTTATTAATGTATTTAAGCAAGAAAAAATTGGGATTCTAAGTGATACCCTGGGACCATCTTGTCATGAAGAAAACGATGTATCCTTGGAGATACCCACACATGGAGAGAATGGGGAGGTAACGAAAGTAACTCAAGCTTCTTCTGAGTGCAAAGAGATGGAAAAAAAAAAAAAAAAAAATTCAACTGAAGTGGCGAATGAACTGGAGACGAAAGAGCTTTATGAAGTTGAAATAGCTGGTTCGGCTCAAGCGGTCCTTGAGCACAAAGAGACTAAGAAGTAAGTCAACCATACAACTAAGGCTATTGCTTCCAATTACAATAGGGTAAACTTAGGAAACATTGATATAGGTGTACTGCAAAAGCAAAATGATCCACATGGAGAGGCATTCGAGACTGTTTGTAATGGTGGAAAGCATGTTGAAGAATTGGACTGTGAATCAGAAAAAAGCTTTGAAGATGTTAAGGAACTTGACGCTGCAATTGAACAAGAAAAAGACAAGGGTACTTTGAATTTTCCTGTGAGAGTTGGTTGACAGTGGGAAGAATATGGAGGGAACTAGGCTACCTAGTATCTTTCAAGCGAAAGAAGAAATGACAGAGATATACAATGATATCAAGACAAGCTATAACACATAAAGAAATGAAGAGACCTATTCTAAAACCACAGAAGCCAAAGGTTCTATGCAGAAAGAAGGGGAAATAGAGAAGGAAAATGTGAGAAAGGTAGATAAAATAAAAGAGAAGGAAAGGGAAAAGGAGAAGGAAAGAATAGTTGTTGAAAGAGCAGTCCGTAAAGCTCATGAACGGGTCTTTACTAAAGCTCGAGAAAGGGCAAAAAGAGATGCTGTTGAGAAAGCAATTGCAGAAGCATGTTGAAGGGCAATGGTTGAAGCTCAAGGAAGGTTAGAGAAGGAGATTTGTATAAAGCGATGGAGAAGAAAAGGGAAGAGGCAAATAGAAAGAGAAAGAAGAAAATAATAAGGGCGTTTTAGTCTTTTCTATCAATGTAGACGAAATTCACTAACAGATCTGGACGAAAAGTGGCTCTTTGTCATTTCCAAATCTTTTGGGTACCAAATCATCTTTACGACAAACTTTGGGTGGGTGTAAGTCGTTCTGCCCAATGTTCCGAAAACCGGACTGGATTGTGACCCGTTCAAGGGTTTGGTTTTTGGTTTGACCGATTGGATATGTCGGTTGGACCGTATCTTGTAAAATTATTTTTAGTCCCTAAATGTTTAAAATTCATCAAAAACACCCCCTATAATACTCCCTTAAGGTTTGAAATCTATCCAAAACACCCATGTCGCTCGAAGAGACTGGTGAGTGGTGGCGACAGCGATAATCGACGACCAATCGAAGTTTGGAATCATGGGACTTTTGATGTATAGGTGCCGACAAATCTTATGGTAGTGTTAGGGAGTTCTACCAGAGTCGGAATTTGTCGAAATCAAGAAGGAAGTCCGACGGTCGCGCGAACTATAGGTGGACGGCGAGTGACAAAAGGCTGGATGACGACCATTGAAAATGGATGGGTTTTGTCACGGAGATGTTGTCAAGTCTAATGGTGGTGTTTCCTCGAACGATGTCGAAATCCGACGAGATTGAGTTATGATTGGACCATGATTCAATACTATTCCGATGATCCAACCGCGGCTCAATCCGGTTTTATTAAAAATATTAGTTTTCAGAGGACACTGAATCAGAGATGTTATCAACTCTCGGTCGAACTGATCCAATCAGACGGTCTGGTCCGGTTTTCAGAACACTGGTTCTGCGTATAATTAACTACTGATTAGGCTCTTGATTTTGAGTATAGTAAGTTGTTAATTGTTTCGCTACTCAATCTCGTCTTTACGGTCAACTTTCCAGAACGCCACGGTGGACCTCGATTGGGACCTGACGTGTCTTTATGTAATTCGACCAAAAAAAAATCTAAAAACCCAAAGAAAGCGCACGTTCGACGATCAGACGAGAAAGTTCTTTCTTCTCGAATCGTCTGTATATAATTTCCATTCAATCTGTAAATCTTAGCTCAAATCGGTTCCAGTTCTAGATTGCTTTGAAGAAATGATTTGGGGAATTGTTCGCCGGAAAATCACTGCGGTATCATTTTTTTTTTCTTTTTTTTTTTTTCGGTAATAATAGCTGCTTAATTTATATTAATAATTTCTATTATGTTGAAATTAACAGACTCGGGTGATTGGACAGTCATTCTCAACGATTAGGCCAAGATGTTTTATGACTGCGCAGAAAGAGGTGGTGAAAATTTAATGTTTTTTTTTTATTTGTTGTTGATTTAATTTAGACTTGAATCTTGGATCTTAGTTGTTTACTTATAATGAATTATGTACAGGCTATTATTTCTTGCAAAGGTTTTGAGCGTATTCAGAGTGCTAGCTACCACATTTTTTCAGGTTTTCTAATTTAAAGTAATTAAATGAAAATAATATAGACATATAGGTTAGTATTTGTCTTTTGATTATTGATATGCTCATTTTCTTTTTATTTGTAGGCAGTTATGTTCCTTCTAAGCCAAGAAGGTAAACCAGCACTGATAATGAGCCTCTCTATATATTTTATAATTATTAATAGCTCATAGTTTCATTCAAAATCTAACCTACTAATGATTTGAAGAAAATGATAGGAAAACAAAAGACTTTATCGCATGTATCTCGGCTTCCATTTTCAGTCTACTATTTTGAAAAAAGTTATACTTCCATTTTGCTAGCAGGGAAGTTACTGAACTGATTCAGACTGAATCTTTTATCGGATTGAGGAGTAGATCATTCTCTTCGGATAATGGTATGTGGAATTAATTAAAAGCTTGTTTGGGTGACATCAGATATTTATGGTTTCAAATGCCGCAATTCTGATGGCAATATTTTCATGGATTGTAGGAGACCTGGTTGATGCTGTTGTTCCTTTCATGGGTGAATCCATTTCTGACGGAACTTTGGCTAAGTTTTTAAAGAGTAAGTTATCCACTTAGTTATCTTTGTAGATGATTTAAATTGTTAAGAGCTTGTCAAGGCCAAAACAAAAAAAAAAAAAAAAAAAATGACANATATAAAATAAAAATAAAAAATATATATTATAATTAAATCAATAATATATATTATATATTAAAAAATAATAATAATATTTTTAATGTATTGTTAGTAGTGATCAATGGATATTTATGAATGTTTAATTTTTATTTGGATATGTATTGTTTATATTTACAATTTAATTTAGGAAAAAATAAAAAAAATAAGTTTTATAAAAAAAAAAAAACTGGTTCAAAACCGATTAACCGAAAAATCGGTTTTCTCTCCAAACCAGTTCAATATCGGTTTGAAAATTTTTCGAAACTGAAAAACGGGTTCGATTAAAAAAATAACCGGTTAACAACTTTTGAACATTCTTATGTGGACCTACCCATGGGTAAGGCCTTAAAATGCTTTTGCTTTTTATTTAAAAAAAATTATTTTCATAAAATGGTAATTAAAATCATTTTCTGTTTTCAATCCAAACATTTAATTTTTTTTTTTTTTTTAAATATCAAATATATTATCAATAAAACATTTCCAATATAGTTTATTCCATTATGCGTACCAATCAAAGTGCAAATGATTAAAAAATAGATATAGTAGACTAGTATATTTGATCATTTGATGACTGATGTTACTAATTATGTTAGGATAACCCAAAAAATTAGGTGAAAGAACCTCTAGGCTAGTAAGTTTAAGTACCACGATTATTAGGTAGGACTTGTAAGATCCCGATATACCATCCTAACATTACACCTCTTTAAGAGTCGACATCCACGATCGAGACTGACTCGACGTTAATCCTTTTCCGCTTTGGTGGCTTTCACTCACCTAACATTGCAAATGCCCTGATGTAGGGACCACTCAAACGTTTCTTTTGTCCTCATCTCAGTGACTCAGTCCATGATTGTTTCAAAGCCACTATAATGAGTATGCCAATTGTATACCGCCACGTAAGCAACGTCCACAGAGGCTTCGTAATTGTATCACTTGAGCATGAATATGTGGACCTACCCATGTACAAGGTCTGAAAATGCTTTGGCTTTTTATTTAAAAAAAATTATTTTCATAAAATGGTAATTAAAATCATTTTCTGTTTTCAATCCAAACATTTATTTTTTTTTAAATATCAAATATATTATCAATAAAACATTTCCAATATAGTTTATTCTATTATGCGAATCAATCAAAGTGCAAATGATTAAAAAATAGATAAAAGTGTTACTAATTATGTTAGGTTAACCCAAAAAAATTGTCTATGACAGGTGACAGATCCCCTAGACTAGTAGGTTTAAGTATTACAATTGTTAGGTGTGATTTATGAGATGGATGTGGGATCCTAACATTGCATCTCTTTTTAAGAGTTGATATCCAAGATCGGCACTGATTTGACGGTAATCCTTTCCCCTTTTTGGTGGCTTCATTCACCTTTAATTTTTTTTTTTTTTAAATATCAAATATATTATCAATAAAACATTTCCAATATAGTTTATTCCGTTATGCGTATCAATCAAAGTGCAAATGATTAAAAAATAGATATAGGTGTTACTAATTATGTTAGGTTAACCCAAAAAAATAGTCTATGACAAGTGACAGAGCCCCTAGACTAGTAGGTTTAAGTATCACAATTGTTGGGTGTGATTTATGAGATCCGAATGTAAGATCCTAACATTGCACTCTTTTTTAAGAGTTGACATCCACAATCGACACTGATTCAATGGTAATCCTTTCCCTGTTTTGGTGGCTTCCAACCCAACCACCCCCACCCCCCCAAAAAAAGAGCTGATGGCTTTACTCACCTAACATTGCATCCCCTTTCAAGAGACGACATCACAATTGTTGGGTGTGATTTATGAGATCCCGATGTAAGATCCTAACATTGCACCCTTTTTTAAGAGTTGACATCCACGATCGACACTGACTCGATGGTAATCCTTTCCCCTTTTTGGTGGCTTGCTTCACTCACCTAATATTGCAAACACCCCCACCCCCCC